TATATGGACAGTACTGCATTTCTGGGTGATTAAAAAATAGTATAGGTTCAGCAGAAAGAAATCATTATATTTTCCAAGGAAATGAATTCTACTACATCCTATCATCCCCTTTCGTATACCTTTTATTGTTTCCTGTGTGTCGTTACTTTATTTCTAAGTGTAAATGACAGAACTTGGTCTTATATGTGCTTTAAAAATACATGCAATCCAGGCGTGAAATTGGTGTGCTTCTTCCTAAGCAACAGATGCTTATCAGGACACCTCATTTTTCTTTGATTTTGTGCAGAGGCAACGGCTTCTCTCATGCCTCCTGTTAAAACAGGATCTTGCCTATCAATGGATGGGCGCCGACATGAGAATGAGGAGAGCTGGCACGATGGCTGCAGGGAATGTTACTGCCACAACGGACGGGAAATGTGTGCCTTGATCACCTGCCCCGTTCCTAATTGTGGCAACCCCACCATACATCCGGGGCAGTGTTGTCCATCATGTCCAGGTAACATGATTTTTCTTTTACATCCTTTGTAATCGGGTTTCATTTCACATATGTTCTATTTCCTAATACATGAAAATAATCTCGTGCATCATTCGGTAATAGGTACAGGCGAAGGTTTCTATGCCCAAATATAACATGCGGACTTGCTGTCATTAAGATCTCAGCTGTGAAAAATAGGAATTTAAAAATTTAAACCATATGCATGTTGTGGGTCCTAACTTGTTAATTTTTTACACACTTGAATCTTTAAATTAGTACAAGTTTCTAGTCTGTTATCTATGATAGGAAATATTGTAATAAGCCGTTACATTTTCTTTTTTTTTATTTTAAAGTGGAGTTTTATTAAAATTTATCTCCTGATCTATGTTTCACAACCCCTCAAAGGTGTACACAAACAAGTGTCTTAAGTAATTGAACATTATGATTCTGTGTTCTGAGGGAAGGCTCTTGTAGATTATTTCAACGCTTTCAGTGGAAAGGCCAAGTACAACTCATGTTGCATTCCAATACAATTTTAGTAAGTGTTAATATGAAAAACATCTATGAAAAAGTGTGGGTAGAGTGTAAGAATAATGCTCTCTGTTTTCAGAACTATTTCTACAGTATTTTATGTGAGAAATACATTAATTTGTAATACAGTGATACTGTCTGTGGTTTTATTGAAAGTCATGTTACAAGTAGGAACAACTGAGGCTCATGAAACTTTTATGAATAGCAGAACAGTAGGACGGCACTGGGAGGATATAAGCGATTATGAATTGTTTCACATTCTTTGTAAAGAACAGGAAACCCTAAGGGTAAAATAAATAGCCAGATCCACTTTCTGAAAGTGACACAGAAAAGCACATTCTTCCTATGACCTAAGATAACCGATCTCTTCAGATTGCTTAGACAAATGGTGATCTCCAATCCAGTTCACACCTTGTGGTAACTGGAAAAATATAGTCCCCAGAGAGATGCACGACTTCAGAGGTTTGTCTCTTTTTCAGCCTTTTCACAATGATTTGTGTAGTATTTTAGGCGATGGTATACTTCATATAGATGGGGATAGGTTAGCATGTCAGTTCTTGCATTAGATAAACTCAAGATTCAAAATTTTAATGTTGTGATGTTGGTCTCCTATAAAAGAACCGTTGCTTACCCAGCAGTCCATTCCTTTGAGAGACATTCCTTTGAGAGACTTTGAGAGTCCATTCCTTTTTGAGTCTGCTTTCAAGACACTGGTCACCTAGCTTCTGTGTTAGCAAAGTCATACTTGTTGTAAACTCTTACAATGCTAGGACAGAGACCGCATTTTGAAGTGATTGCATATATAAGTATATGAATAAGGCCAAATTCGTCTCAGTGTGGGTTTTTTTCCCCCCACTGAGGTCTTATATTTTTTTACAAATGTAATTCCAATTTTATTTTGCAATGTATTGATTCCCCACTGATGATGTTAAATAAATATCATGGATTTTAATAGATAGGAATGAAGTTTGGAATTGTGAGCCTGTGAGCATGTCATTCAAATGTATTTGCCATAAGAATATTGAAATAATTAGCAGTCCTCATGTACCGAGTTTTGAATTGCAATGTTAACCTATCAACAGGGTAGGGGCAGCTCTCAGAGGTCGTTTTTCAGACTAAAAAAAGTGGTTACATTCAATTCAATATTTAATTAGCCTTCAACAGAGCAAGATACCTTAACTGCTACACTGTTCCTTATAACCACGCTTCTATAAATGGGGAGATTTAAATGGTTCATCACAATGTTTGTAAAAAGTTCCAGGTTTCATGTAAGATTTAGAAAGCCATTAATTTATAATGTTTTGCAGAACCGTGCTATGCAGAAAGTGTATATTTGTTTGACTAATTGCTCCTTCAGGTTAGCAGTAGTAAATTTGCAATACTAGTTGCAAAGTTGTAGCGATTTAGTTGTAATGGTATTTCATTATCAGGGCTGCTAAGGAGGCATTAGCAATACCATACATACAGCAGTGATGTCTGGTTATGTTTGTTTGATTAAGAACAGTATATGAGCTGTAGCAAAACAGGCCTGTGACTTTGCAGAGAACTAAATGCAAAGCAGATGACTCCGAAAATTTCCAGAAAAAAATTAGCATTGCCTTTGCCATGGTGAGTTAGGATGTCATTGCATAAAATGTAATATATTGTTCCAGCTGAAATAAAAATCAAACAGGCTGACAAGGCAGCAGACTAGCAATCTCATTTTGGGTAAATGCTGCTGAATCAGGTATGTGGTTCATAAATGTAAGCAATTGGAAAAACATAGCATAAGCAAATCAGTGAAAGATAAAATAATTCCCTGAAAGAAAAGCATTAGTACTTTGTGAATAAAGTCAGATCAGCCAGAGTCAGCTTCCTTGAGTTCTAGTGATCATTCTCCAGAAATGAGAACAATTAAGTTGTGTGTCTTCCACGTGGCAGCGTCAGAGAGCAAAGGGCACAAAAGCCATTCTCCAGACAAGTACAGCAGAGCTGAAGAGAAGTCAGGTGTACTTTGCGGGCTTTGGCTTGCCTAAATAACTAGAGGGGCTGCTATCTGCTCAATTTTTCTCTCCTTAACCAAGATATTTGGATTAGAATGATGTTCACATTAGGCATCATTATAATAAGTAGGAGAGACGGATGGACCTTCTGAAAGTGGTTTAGAGATGTAGCCTAGTTAGGGAAGTCACTTTCTCGTCCCCTCCATTTATAGCACAGGAAACATGATGCAGTTCAGTTCTTAACAGAGGCACCTAACTTAGCTGTCCAATGTTAAATGGGTTGAATTCAGGCTGAAGGACATCACTTATAAGCCTGAAACTTCACTTTGCAGCTTGTAGCTTTCAAACTCATGGCTTCCGCAGCTGAATAAAACATGCTGTGTGAGGCATCTCGATATCTGTACACAGTGCCTGGGAAAAGCTGGTGAACCTATTCCAGGTCCAAATGAAACAGCATAGTAAGCAGGCAACTATTACTACCATTACTGCACCTTATGTGGGGTAGTTTTCAAAGCGTTTTAAGCAGGTTACAAACATGCTGTTTGTGGCATAACCTTTTCTTGGTGATAAGTACTTAAACAACCTCAAGGTGGAGGGTAGGATTCTTTTATTCTTTCAATACACCAAGAGGTAAAGAGAGTTCCCCCATTTTTAATGTCCCAGAGGCTGAAGGACCCTCATGCTGAACAAGGGAAACAGTTTCAGTTCCTTTCTTAACATGAAGGAAGACAAATCTGTTCTCTAAACTGCTGGGGTGAATCTTTTAGCCAGGGCGGCAGAGGTAACGTAACTAATTGTTTGAAAAGGAAGTAAGGTTCATTTGGTAAGATACAGTTATTGAAAATATGAGTCTACACACTGTGGCATCTCCTTGGGTCCAGTTTTCAAAGATGGCAGATTTCTTTTTTTTTTGTCCCCTTCTTTTTTTTTCTTTCTCTTTTTTGTGCAACATTGATGAAGCACTTCTATCGGTGTTAAATGCTTATACGTTTTTAGGGGGCTGGGTGTGGGATTCTGTATTTTTCTGTTCTGATGGGTCGGAGTTTTTTTATTTTTTTGTGGTGGGTTCTTGTTTGGATGGGTTTTTTTAATGTGGCATCAAATGATAGAGAGACGTATCTGTTGGGAAAGTTGACTTGAACCTGGACTTCCTAAATTCCAGAGAAGCATACTTACTCATCCTTTCAGGAACTGCACTGATGCTAACATTTAGCAGTTAAAAAACTGTCTGATGAGTAGAATTTTTACAGTTACCTCTTGGAATTCCTACATCACAGGTTGGTTTGATTTTTTTTCTGAAATGCTAAATATGCTTAAAGTTACATCTGATTTATATTAACTGCTCTTTTTTCAGAATGATTCTCAAGTTCTTTCTTGTTTATCTTTTTCCCATTTTTCATGAGATGCAGGTGACATAAAGTCAAAAGATCTTCATCAAGAATAATTTATAGCTGGTTTTGTTATGTATTTTCAGTAATAACATTATTGAAATATATTTTCAGCAATAACAGACATTCTTAATCTTGGGTACAGTTGTTAATTATTAGAGTAACAGTTGATTTTGCCTGTCTTCCAATTCTGTTTTTCCCAGATGAAATAATCGTGCAGAAGCCAGAGCTCACCAGTCCATCGATCTGTCATGCTCCTGGTGGGGAATACTTTGTAGAAGGAGAGACATGGAACATTGATTCTTGCACACAATGTACATGCCACAGTGGACGTGTCCTGTGTGAGACTGAAGTCTGTCCACCTCTTCTTTGTCAAAACCCCACCCGCACACAGGACTCCTGCTGTCCACAGTGCCCGGGTATGTGCTGACAACCAGATTTTATCAGAGCCCTTTCTTGATGTGAGAATAGGATGTTTCAGTATAAGAATGTTTCTGTTTGTGCACAGGTGGTTATTGAGGTGCCTTTGTTTTTAAGCAGTGAGGAGTGAGAGCCTGCAGGCCACTAATTCAAATGCCAAACCTGACTATGTGCAAGAGAGATCTAAAGTGTAAAGAGGAGCTGTGGCCCTGAACTTTGAACATCTTTTAAGGCAATCTAATAATGTAAGGGTTGCAAGAACCAGAATCCTTAGTTGAAAGGTTTATGAAATATGCACTGGAAACATGCACTCGTTTATGGAGACATGCAGGATTAGAGAAACTTTGAAAGCAGTCAAAGTGTTAAGTAGATACAGGCTTGTTTCTTTTCCTTTCTACATGCCTTGGTTTTTTTGAACTTATTTATTACTATCTTGTCTATTTGGGATTTAGTCTCAAAAATATTTCTGTTTGCTTTTACCTTCACATGCTATGATTTCAGAGTGACTTGAAGGCAGCTGAATAATATCAAAGCATTCCAGCCTGGCAGGTGTGCCAGATTCCTCTTAGACTGCTTCACAGTGTAAAGAAGATAACAGGATTTGCTTTCCCCCAAGAAAAGATATTTGATTATAAATGAACATGAATTCCTATTTTATGTAACAAATGGGGGAGTTTTTTTGCAGTGGAAATTTACTACAGACCTGTGAATTATATGTAAACTCGCTGAGAAAATATGTCTTTCTTAAAACCAAAATCTAAAAATTTTACTTTAACTAAAAAGAAAAATTAAGTTTTGCTGTTAGGTTTTGCTACAGTGTTGTTTCAGGTGTGGAGGTTTTTTCTGAGAAAATATTTGCAGCCAGTTCTGCTGCAAATATTAAGTTCTGCTGCCTTCCATTTTTCTCATTGTTAATAACAACGAACATTTGATTAATACTGAATATATTAATTGATTACTTAATGCTGAAAATACTGTTTTGAAGGAGTTGATCTTACCTCACTGGCTATATAATGAGCTTAGTGTCATAGATAAATGCAGTTAGATTGAGAACCTGATATGAATGCTCTTATGAATCCTTTCATTTCTTCTCCTTTTCTTATACCTTATCTGCACATACAGTCCTCTTTCTTGTTTTGTAATGTCTTTTAAGATACAGCTTAATTGCAGAAATATGTCTCCTCCACAGGCAGGCATGACAATTAAAGGAAACCCATTGGCATCAGGCTGCAGCCTGATCAAATTCCATTTGTTTCTCAACTCCATATAATTAGCTCATCTAAGTCCACTAGTGAAGGTGACAGCAGCATAATAGCTTTTCACTTTGCATCATTCTAAGATTTGGACTGTCATGGTAGAAGCTGGGATTCAAGTTGTAGGTTTAAAATTTAATCTCTCTTGTTTAAGATTAATTCCTATATACCTTGCAATGCAGAGCATTCAGAGTGGCTTTTTGAGGTGCTGATTCTGATGGTGATTATTTTTCACTTTGCTGTCCTTTTCTCAATGTGTTTTGGGTTGGTTTTTTGGGGTTGGGTGTTGTTTTTGGTTTTTTTTGGAAACTCGTTGAAGGTCTACATATTATGCTAGAGCACATCATGAGGTCTTCATCACATATAAGGACTGAAAAGACATGAGGCTCTGTCCTAGTTTTGTTGAAGTAGTGAGCCAGCGTGTTCCATTGTGTTCCTAAAGAGTGAATGAACTCTTCGTTAAGGAACTATGAGAGAAGTTAGTTAGCCACTGTATGTTAAATAACTTAATCTGTTTATATTTACAGATGAGCCTCTTCAGCCCTCCTCATCAAGCAACGAGAGCATGCCCAGTTACTGCAAAAACGATGAAGGAGATATTTTTCTGACAGCTGAGTCCTGGAAACCCAATGTCTGCACTAGCTGCATTTGCATGGATGGTGTGATTAGATGCTACTCTGAGTCTTGCCCACCGGTATCCTGTGAGAGACCCGTTCTGAGAAAGGGACAATGTTGTCCTTACTGTATTGGTGAGCAAATAGAAATAGTTAACTTGCTGCTCGCTTCTCGGGAGTAAGAAAGAAGTTTTATTCCCAAACTGAAATATGTTCCCCTGGTTTGGGGAGTAGCAGTTTGTGCCTTCAGTTGAACTGGAGAGTGAAATCTGCGTAGGGAGCTTGGAGGATCATGATTTGTGGTTTTTTAGGTAGAAGTGCATGGAGATATACCTGTAATTTGCCTACAAACTCGAGAGGACATCCTCCTGAAATCGTGGTAATACACTTTATTGGATGAAGACATTACACAGAAATTGTTTTATTTAAAGGAAAATTGGCCAGGTAACATATATGGTATGTCAAGATTTGTGTGATAATATGAGGAAAACATTAATTATGACTGCAGAAGATAAGCTGAAGCATTATGAACTTCCATGGCATGTAGAACTGTTAATAAGGCATCTAAATTGAAATACTGGGGAAAAAAAATGGAAATTTGTTAATGATAATATCTTTGAGAAAAAACATAGGGAAAATATGTGTTTTTTAAGTACTAAAAAATGCATAAAGAATTAAGGGCCATGCACTGGTTTTGGATTTGGAGCTAAAGTAAATGATGGATGCTGTAGATAGTGAAAATTGCCAGGCATTTTTAAAGTTGCAGAATTTGATATTACTGATCACTTTTTCATTGTATGTTGAATAAGAGTATTTATTTAAAGATTACTTTTTTTGTGAGTTCATAGCAAGTACAGAGGCTGTAGAATGGAAGCTGCTAATAGAGAAAAATTGGATAATGTACTTGCTGAAATTAAGTCTTTGCAGCATTGTTGAAAAGCATTCAGAGCTTACTTACCTTCATCCAAAAGTAGCAGGGGGAGATACAGTAGGCAAGAGTTCCATAAAAAGTAATATAGTAAAATTGACAGGCTTTAAATATTAAATTGAACACGTGAATCAACTTGCCCATCTATAAACAATACAGTTCTCCTTTGGAAACATGTCAGAAAGGTTGTGAAGTACTTTCAGATATGTACCATTGATACAACTGTTGAAATATTTAATTCATTGCAGATAAACTGTCTTTAATAATAGATGATACAGTTTTATATGATGTACAAGGAATTCCTTGAAAGAATGTCTGAAAAAGTTACAAAATATCCAATTTTCCGTTGCCTTTGGAACCATACCTAGATTCCTGATGAGGACATTTTGAGGGGAAAGTTCTTTGTTATCCTATGACTATTTCTTCTCGTGGTTTGCATAAAAAATGGGGAGAATTTAGAATTTTTCAACAACTGATTTTCCGCAGGCTTTTCTTCCAGTAATTGACTTTGAACCATAAAAATGAATTTTAATTCAGAAAACATTTTAACATTAAAAAAATACAGAATGTATGCGGAGTTGGGCAATCAAACCAGTAGAGTCAGAACACGAGTCTTAATACCGTAGTGGAGAATGCTTTGGGTGAGGAAGGGACTAGTGCCGTGAACTACAAAAATGAAACCTCTAGAACTTTTTGCCTACACCTTGCATGTCATTTGCAAATATATACACAGAACATGTAGATATGGCCTTAATTAATTGACTTTGAATCCTTTATAGTTGCATAATATCAGAAATACTTAAATGTGTGAGCAATAAAAGCATAATGATTTTTTTTAGTAGCAACTGATCAGCAATACAAAATAGAGAAGCCAGATTTTAATTAATGCTCAGATATGAAGATTTTCAATTATGATACATTTCATTAATCCAAGTTGTACTATGTTTTGTGGTCTAAATAACTGAAATTCATGGGAAATCTAACTTTTTTATGGTTTCTATGAACTATATACTCTTGCATGTACGACTAGTCAGGTTGTGCACCTAATTTTTGTCTTCCTGATTCTTAATGGTCAGCTCTTCATTTTTTGAGAACTGTGAAGAACATCTTTGTACAGATTCTTCCTCACTGTTTTCATGTAATAGTTGATAAAGTGCTTAGAATCATAGAATCATTTAGGTCAGAAAATACCTTTAAGATTGAGTCCAACGGTTAACCCAGCACTGCCAAATCTGCCACTAGATCACATCCCCAGGTGCTTTGTCTATACATCTTTTAAGTACCTTCAGGGGTGGTGACTCAATCACTTCCCTGGGCATAGGCAAACTCTGTGGAAACAGGCTTTCTTCATTTATTGGAATTTCAAAAATTATGCAGGCTTTTAGCACTGCATAATTTTTGGTTCTGGTTCTAGTTCTTCCTGGATCCAGTTTATATAAATTCAAATTCAAAATTTTACAGGCCTTGTTTTTTGAATCCTCAATATCATCCTGTGTATTTAACATTCTTCTTTTTTCTTACAAAGAAAGGTTAATTTGGAAAGATAACCTTCTAGTTTAGAGATGATAAAGGGATGTATCTATTTGGTTAAAGACAAGATCACTCTTCTGCAGAAAACAGAACAATGACTGTTTGTTTAGCAGATGAGACTGATTTTCTAGTACAGCTAGAAGAAATTTGAGAGAAGCAAGCAGAGCTAGACTCAGTCTTCTGGACTCCAGTTTTTTATGTGGGTTTCTTACTGCAAGTCTCATTTCCATTATCCTTGAGCACTTATTGGTGTTGTGGTCTTCATCTTCATCCTTGTTTATACTTGCATAGGGATGGACACCAAAACAGGAGACACACACAGGATAATACTGTATTAGGACTTAAAAATCTCCTCTTGAGGTTTAAAGGTGCAACATTGCTATTGTGATTTTACCCTTGTTCATTCTTCTAAAAACTATTTACTGTATTAGATTGTGATGTGTTCCTCACAAACTTGCAAAACTCCGAGCAAGTTAAAGGACTTTTCCAAACAAACCAGCTGCTAAATTGAAGAAGGTATCCTGAGTGGGGCAAGGTAGCACTTTGGAAGCAAATCAGCCCTGAGTGCACAGGCAGTACACACCTTTAGGTCTGCATAGGTAATTATCAGGAGAGGAGTGTTTGGGCTGTGTGCCTCACCCTCGTCCCCAGCCACATCTACTTATTGACTAACACAGGGCTCCACTGGCTCTATGTCAACATGCACATCATCTGGGTAAAAACCTAATGAGCTTTCTGCACCTTTTCCTCCCACTTTTCCTTTCCCATATGCACCCAACATTTAGTTATAAAATCTTCTGCTTGGGGAGGTTGAGACCCATACTTACAGCCATGGAAGCTATGGCATAACCATACCAAGGATCTCCGAAACCCTTTGTGCTTTTCAGATAATTCTACTAATATTAGTATTATCTTCTTTTGCATTTGAATTTATTCTGTCCAGATCTGTAGCACTGGTCTGCTGACTGCTAACCTTGTTATTCCAGATTATGTCAGTCTATTATGTTGTCACTAATTAAAACCTTTACTAAAGGCCACATTATTTAATAAGGTTTTTTATTTATATTTGAGAGGTAACTCTAACTGACATATTTAAATATGTAGTCTGTGTGAATGTTAAACCAAAATTTATCTGATGGTTAAAGAAGTCTGTGATTTCATTCTGTAACATCCTGCATATGTTTAATGTGCAAATTCATGTCATCAGCAGGTTTCATCATAATAATTTTTGCCTCTAAGAAATAAGGTTAATAAGAAGCTAAGATGAAAATTAGGTGCTGCTTGGCTTTTGGAGCTTCTGCTTTGTGGTTTTATTTTGATTATCTATAAAGTGTTACAGCAGCAAAAAACTTCCTAGGCTAAGCAATTCATTACTATCTTCACAGTGAAATGGAAGGTATACTGCAGACCACCTAAAAGGCTTGCACAGGATGCAACATTAAAAAAATGGTGTGCTGAATGCTTAGGCAGAAAGATCACACTGATTTCCAATTTATATAACACTAAGTGTGAAAAAATGTACTGAGTTTAGTTATTGCCCTTTTCCTGGGGTTGGTGCAGTTGCAGGGAAGGATCAGATTCTCTTCAAATGTGTTTTATAATAATAAATAATCTAAGCACTTCTGGTTATTTCATCTGCAAGTTGCTTCATTCTTCTTGGCATCCTGCCTAATCTGGTTTTTTTCAGTATTCTAGACTAACTTCATCTTTCTTAAACCTTGCTATAGAAATTTAGGTAATTAGGAGGTTTTTTACTTAATTAAAGTCTCAAATAGTCAAACATATAAAAGAATCAATTCTTCTTCTTTTCACAGCATTTTTTTATATCATCATTTCTTGTCCCAGTCATCTTTCCTCTAGCCTCTTGCATTAAGAAAGTGAGGAGAAGCAGCGCAGTCTAATTACGTATATTAAGTAGCAAAAATGACATCTTTTTAACAAAGATTTTCTGGAAGGTGAAGAGAGGGTCTTTTAATTACAGTTGAGATTTCTTTGTAGCAATTGTTTCACTTCCATGTTTGGGGAAGAAATCGGATTTTTGTGTAATTGCCCGTTACTGCATAATCACACCACTGTTTTCCTTCAACAGAAGATGCAGTTCCAAAGAAAGTTGTCTGCCACTTCAGTGGAAAAACATACGCAGATGAGGAGCGCTGGGACATTGACAGCTGCACACACTGCTACTGCCTGCAGGGTCAGACACTCTGCTCCACTGTCAGCTGCCCACCTCTCCCCTGTGCTGAACCCATCAATGTGGAGGGAAGCTGCTGTCCCATGTGTCCAGGTAATGTGATGTTACAACCCAGTTTACTGTGATGCTGGTTTACCAGGACTAATAATAAGGGGGGGGGTAATTGTTTTTTGAATGTCAGTCCATGTTTGAACAGTACCACAAAGACAACAAAGTTTTAGACTTCAGGAAAATTAATATTCTTAACAGGCACATTGTGCAAAGACATAGTTTGAATTCCACTTATTCTGAGAACTGTGAACTCAAAAATTAGTTGCTTGCCCCTGGTTTGTCCTTTCACAAGGTTATGGAAATAGGTTAATGAAGTGGGAAAATTAATATTCTTACATCTTTGCAGATTATGTCACAGTGATTAATATTTCTGTCTTTTCTGAGTCTCTTCATTACTTTTCAAATACTACATTGCTTTATTTATCACTGTAAGTTGGCTTAAAAGCAGTATGAAATTGTCTTGGCAATGGGCACAAGGGACATAAGAATTCCAACTGGTTTCTAAAGTCCTGAAATGCTTCTGCAGAAGTTTGCTCATCTTAGTCAGCTGGTAACTACTTCTGACAGGACAACTGCAGAGATTCAGCAGTACCATGTCTTGCAATTCCCCTGCTTTGAGAATTGCAAATAAAGGAAGGCAAAGAACCCAGCAGACACTGTTTACATATCATCTGGAAAGATGTAGCCTTCCCTTTGTATTTTCTTTTTCTTCTTTTTTTTTTTTTTTTTTTTCTGTATTACCACAGAGGAGCAAGCTTGTAGTGAAACATGTATTCTGAAATGGTATTTTCAAAAGCACATTTGTCCTCACCACTCCATCATCCCATTCACATTAGGATAATGATAATAGCAGCAGGCGTGTATCCTGTATACATTATGCAACAAGTTTTAAACAAAATTCCAGACTAATAACGATGAAAATTCTGAAGCAAATAAAAGAATTCATAGGACAAAGCACTGCAGATGGCCAAGCGTATTTCCTGAATTAAGAGCAGCACTGAGAAGTTAAGCAGCCTGTAATTTGTGAAACACATTTATCTCATTTCACAGAGATGTATGTTCCTGAACCCACTAACATTCCCATTGAGAAGACAAATCATCGAGGAGACATTGAACTAGAAGTACCAAACTGGCCAACTCCGAGTGAAAATGACATAATCCACATTCACAGAGGTAAAATCTGACACAACTGGGATATCAGAGGCCTGTTTATTCCCCATGTTTAATGCACCTACTTGTTCTAATCAGGTAGCATCTATATAATGCTTTGGAAAGGTGGTTATCTGAGAATATTCTTCAGTGCATAACTCTTACATGCATTTTTCTTTGATTAAAGATGAGTCAGTCTATTAAATTACATTTATGCAATTTGGTCTCATTATCATTCCACCTTCTGCATGGAAGAAACATCTGTGTTGGTATTATGAAGTTCTATAAAATTAGGAATACAGTGAATGAGAAAAAAAGTCAGCAGTGTCTTTTCTGATTCAAAAACTAGAAAGACCACCACTGGAGTTGATAAATCTTAATTTGATCTTCTTCTATTGATAAACAAAGATGGAAAACATGTACCACAGCTTAAAATGTATCATAGGCAAATGTCAAAGTTTAAAAAAAACCCATCTCAGGTATAATGAGACAGAGTTTATAAAGTTGTCTAAGGATGTAAATGTATCTTTTGTTTAAACTGTGCTGCAATCATTATTCCAGGGAAGAGGAAACACTCTATGACACTGTCTTTAACCTTTTCTAATTGAAGGACAACTTAAGCTTGTATGTATTTTTTTTAAATCTGAGGATGATCTCATAGCATACTATTGTTTGGAGAAAGGATGCATGAAATTTAACTGCTTTACAAAGTTCTAACCTTACACTTCTATAATTACAGCATTTTCATTTCTCACGGGCATTAGTAGCTGGGTTGCAACTATCCTGGCCTAGGGATTATAAATACACACTGCAAAGCGTGGAATTTTTTAGATGTCATTGAAAATTACCATTTTTTGCAATTACATGCAAAACTTCTTACATTCTAAGAAGATTGCCAGCAGTCTGTTTTCACAGACTGAGTGGTGCAAGTATTGTAATATGGTCTCAACAGATGAGAGAGCAAACACGTCATAATTGTCCTACCAGTTTTAAAAGGTAAAAAAAAAAAAAAAAAAGACTTCCATCAGCCTGGAAACATGGTCTAATTTTTTTTTTTATAAGTGGGAATTTTGTTGTGATCCGATAAGATGATGCAAACACAACTGAGCTAAAAGGTTATTGTCAGATTTGTTTGTTGTTGTGCTTTATATTCCTGCTATTTCCTCTCTTTTTTGATGGCCTTTTCATGCCTAATATAGTCACTATACAAGATATGAGCTTTGGGTTGTTCTAACTGCTATAAATAAGGTGACATTTCAGGAGAGAAAGTCCAAATTCATATGAGTGGCAAGACATATGACTGAGACTTTCAGAATTACATCCTTCATTATGGCCAAGGCCCATTTGTAATTGCTAAAAAATGCTCACACTTACCTTCCAGATATGAACCATCTCCAGGGAGAGTACCGAAGTGGCAGTGGGCCACACCCCAGTGAGGATGCCTCTGTCGGCTCTGTTGCCTTGGTGACAATTCCAATCATGATAGCGCTGTTACTGATCATCATCCTCCTGCTCATCAATCAGAAAAAGCAGTGGATTCCTGTGTCCTGCTACAAAGCTCCAACAAAGGTGCTGTGTTTCTGTCTGTTTCCAGACTTTCACATTTTTTGGAAACCAGGAACAAAACGTTGTTGTAAATGTTCAGCAACCGGTTAACCCGCCCAGCTGGGATATGAGAATAGCGGAGCTCCATTCAGAAGATAAAACATGGTGATTCTAAGGAGAGTGTTGATCTGTTACTGTGCCTGGCATAAGCATTTACCAACTTTGGGAAAAGTCTAGACTCTTTAATTGCTGTATTTTGTTGTGTGCTTATGGACTTGAACGAAAAGAACTTTTTTAATTATGTGTGGAATACAAAAATTGTTTAACTTACTCAGTATTTCCTTTCTCTTTTAACAGCCTTCTTGCCTAAACAATCAACTGGTGTATGTGGACTGCAAGAAAGGTACCATGGTCCAGGTGGACAGTTCTCAGAGAATGCTAAGAATTGCAGACCCGGATTCAAGATACAGTGGATTTTACAGCATGCAGAAACAGAACAACCTACAGGCAGATAATTTCTATCAAACAGTTTGAAGAATTGCACCCTTACCAAGGATTAAGAAAGAGAGAAGAGAGAGACAGTCTGCTATTAAAATAAAACTAGAATTGTGCACTTGCTTAGTGGATTGTATTGGATTTGTGACTACATGTACAGCTCTAAGACCTTACTGGGATGAGCTCTGACTCCTGCAATGTGCCAGAAAAAGCATTCCCACTTTTCCTTGAGATAACTGACCAAGTGTTTTCTTAGAACCAAAGTTTTAAAACTTGTTAAGATGTATTTGCTTGTAACATAGCTATAGAGGTTTTTTGGGAGGGGGAATCAGGGGCTAGGGATAGGCAATGAGGTAAAAGGAAGCTTCATAGAAGAGAAGCTGGTCATGCTTGGCTTTAGAAGAAAATAAACTGCCGAGCAGCAGGATAGTGGTTTTCCTTGTTGCTCTGAAATTGCATCTGTTGCACCCAAAGCCTAACCCCAGATGAAAAAAATACAAAAAGGTCTGATTTTTTTTCTTCCAGCTGTTGCTACGGTAATATACTCCTAGAACAGAATTTGTCACATCACAGGTGTGGTGTAGCTGCAAATATTTTTCTATATGATGAGAAGCTGCAGTAGTTAATGAAATAGCAAGGAAAAGATTATAGCAGAAAATAAAGGGTGGGTTTATTAAGGATGTATAAAATTATACCTTGTGCTGCTTTTTGTTTTTATTTTTGTTTTCTTCAAAGCTGATTGGCTAGATTAGCCAGACTTCAGCAGAGTTAGCAAATGACTGAGGCCTAAGTAATTCCTGATATGAGCACTGGATCTTTTGACAGCAGTATTGAAGGAAGGAAGGAAAAGTCAAGAACACCATGCAGTTCCAGGGGCTTTTGTTTGTTTGTTTTGTCTGTTGTGGTTTTGTTTTGTTATTTTATATCAATCTCTGGTTGTTCATACAGGAGAAGGAAAACTATTTTTGTTGGACAAAGCTCTTGCTTACAAGAGAGTAAAAAAGAGACTGTTTTAAGGTTGTTTTTTTTTCCTGTTGATGTTCTTATTTACTGGTATGCAGATTTAGAAACTACTTCCATGCTAGGAAGCTGCTTAATTTTAATTGTATATTACTCAAGCACCTTTTTTGAAGCTCAGAAAAAAAAGGAGATCATGCTTCTTTAAACTCTAGCATTATAGGAATATTTATGTAAATATAATTATGCTAAAAACAACAAAAAGTATTTGTATGTTTGTGTATATATATGTATATACAAATGCATGTAGGTATACATATGTATATATACGTGCATGTGTATATACACTATACATATATATACTGTATATATAAAATACTATGTATACAGTATATATTTTTTTCTATTTTTTTTTTCTTGTTGAATGTATTTTTATCTGAGAGAGATTTTACCCAGAGCAGAAACAGATAACAGGCATTCCATATCAATGCTTAATCGCTTGTGAGTTTAGGAAAGACAAGAAAAGAGCATCTCATTCTACCTACAGTTTGATTTGATTTGAAAGTGTTTGTGTGTGTGTGTGTGTGTGTGCGCGCACTCTTGTGTTGGCGTGTGTACAGTACGTGCACGGTTTTAGCAGTAAGCGTTGCTCTTGCTACTTGCTACATTTCAGGGTGTTTCTTATTTTTCTTTTCCTGCTTAGCCTTAAAAAGGCTTTTTAATGAATGCATTGGCTAGAGACACTGATGACAATATACATGCAGCACTAATCAACTCCATAAATTAACACCATCAGCTCCTGGATTTTGGAGGTTTTTTCCTTTCTTTTTTTTTTTTTTTTTTTTTTTTTTTCAAACAATTGTTTGAAACAACTACTGGAATATTGTCCACATTAAGCTGGAAGTTTATTGTAGCTTGCCTCATTTATAACTCTGACTGTATAATACAATGTTACTTTCCAAACAGGTCTTGGCACTTTTATACTAATTACCCATTTGTGCATTGCCTTTTTTCTTTTACAAATGCTTCTCATAAGAGACACAGATACCCAGTATGCTTAATGTGAAAAGAAAATGTATTTTTTGTAAAGGAACTCTCAAGTATTGTTCTAAATACTTGGTCAGAGGTTGCTGAACTTTAAAACTGAAAAAAAAAAAAACCTAATTTATTATTATAATGACCTAATTTATTAATCTGAAGATTAACCATTTTTTTTTGTTTTAGAATATCAAAAAGGTGTTCTAGCTGTTTGCATCAAATAAAAAAATAGGTGTATCATTAAGGGTCAACATTTTTTCTGCTTATATAACTTCAGTTTCCAACCACCAGTAAGAAAAAATGTAGTCTCCCCAGTGTTTTGTACTCAATCTGATATTGAAACAGAGATGTTTCTGTCCAGTTACTGCAGAGATTTTGTCAAGACAAAACATCCATTCCTTGCATAAGAGTAAGCAGTCTTTATCCAGAAATTGTAAATGCTTGCTTTTGTTTTACAATCAAGGCCATATTCTGAAAATATTAGCAGGATATAGGACATGGTGTAAAATGTTTTTTATTATTATTATTTTATTATTATTATTTTAAAGATATGATTTATCCTATGTGCTGTATCCATTACACTCTTTTACTTTGGTTCCTGTTGTGCTCTTGTAAGAGAAATGCAGATATAATTTTCTGAAAAAATAGATGCATATGTGGCACTCGGAGTGCACTGCGGTTCAGCAGATTGCTTGTTTACTTTTTTAACTGTAAGGCGGTTTCTTGTAATTTGGCTCTTGGCAGCACAATAAAAAAATTTTAAACCTACTGATGCGTATTCTCTTAAATGTTCACATTTATTACTTCCATACACTAATCCTTGAAACATTAGTTTACAGATTGATATTATGGTGGGTAGGAATTCATTTTATTGTCATGCTGATCTGAGATTGGAACAGCTCAGAACACACTGTGGGTAAAGAACAGTTTGCAGTTACAGAAAGTTCTGCATATTATACTAAAGAATTTTAACATTGGAGAGCTTTGTGGAGTTCCAAATACTTTCAGCATTCAGTAAAGATGAATCTCTCAAATGCAACGTTAGGCCTTTGCCGTGTCATGGAGGGCATGTGGTCTAGTCGTACGTGTCAGAAAGCTGTGCTTAACCATATAAGACTCTGATACAAGGTCCTATAAAAAGCATTTGGAATCACAATTTGTACTTCATGGACTTCCCGATCATTTATTTATCTATTAACCCATAATGTTCTTTTCTTCTAGTAATTTGTAAGTTAATGGACTTGATGTAAAGTTCTGGTATGTAACTACCTGACACGAGGCAGTTTTCAGCTTGACTACGTGCTTTATAAACAACTGCTTTCTTTTCTTTCTTTGAAACCATCCTCCTAATGGTTTCATTTAATATCCCTGACAAATCAGCAGTAGATCATTATCTATATGCCATGCATTAATTTACAGACCTGTATCTTGTCTCCATTTTTTCTTGAAAAGCCCAATATAAAATTCTTTGGGAGCAGTTGCATACCTTATGGCCACCCTTGCCATTCCTTGTGCTTCTCATTCATGTACGTCCCTGTACATCCTTTTAAGATGAAGGGTAAGGGAACTGAAAATGTCCACATTGTTCAAACATGGTACTCCCTGGATTTAGCATGGTGTTTACAGTTTGGATTGCTACTCCCACTGAGTCAATGTTCTTGCAGTGCTAGCTGCAATAATCAAAAAATGCCCAAGTACTAATAGTTGACATAATTGACTTTGGCTAGGGTAGATCGGTATTTATGTGCATCCCTTTACATCTACATATGTTGAATTTCCTCCTCTTTCCTATTTACTGTTTCAGCATTTTTCCTCCTTCCCAAGACTAAGGCTATGGATGATATATGTGTTCTAGAAGAGCATCTTCAAACTCTGCGAACGTTTTTATTTTTCATCAGAATGAAACAGAAAACATCACTGAACCAGTGTATAAAATAATAGTGCATGCACATTTGAACACTCAGAGTAGCCCTGGTCTCCTTTGCCTTACTCACACTGAAAGGATCATATTTGGAATGCCTCTGCCCACCAGCATTTGTCAGCTTGAAAAAAGCTATAGCTGAGTGGGATAGAATGCAAATCCTTTAAATCACATCAGTAGTATACAGATGCTTAACAAGGAACGCATTTGCTCCTCGCTATGTTTCTTTCCAAA